TTAAGTGGAAAAACTCCTTCACACCCTGCGGGTGTAGTGAAAAAGGAGGTGTGACAGCTCTGGCGACTCTGCTGGGGACACAAACCCAGAACTTCGGTTCAGGGTTTAAGAATTCGAGCTTAGAATAATTGTTATGTTTGGCTTTATCTGATTTTCCTACATGTTTCCTACTAAATGTGCTAAATGCTTTACCGCTTTGATATTATCTGAACTGTATATACACTGTGCCGAAACCCTTCTCTTCTCACCTCCGGGATGTGCTCACTGGTGAAGACTCCCTATTCTGTTAGTGTCATACCTTAAAATAAGAAAGAGGCCGAACAAGTTACTAAGCCGGATGGCCTTTTGGTTCCCAGTACGTAGCCCCCTCCTCGACTCGAGTTGTTCGCTCGGGTACACAGTCTAGAACCTATACCCAGGTTTTGAACCTAGAATAACTTGACCTCATGCCGGATCCCTAGTAGGAACGCTTATCTGCATCACGTGCATTTTGACTTAGGGGACTCAACACAGGGGTTGGGTCCGTCTAGGACAGGTGTACTCGGAATAATGGACCATCCTGATACATCCTACTTGTGCATTTATCTGTTTGGATTCGCATGCTGACCGGCTTTGAATATCTGGGAAAAATTGAAAAACAAAAAGAGAAAAAGAGAAAATAGCAATGTAGAGAGTTAATTACCTATATTAGAAAAACCAATGTCCAAGTAGTGCCGAAATTCTGCCGGATTTTTGAGAAAAATGAAAGAAAAAAAAGAGAAGAAAAGTATTTTTAGTTTATTTTGTTTGCCAATGGAAAAGAAAAACACAAAGAGTTTTATTTTCAAATTAGTTTGTTTATTTGCCACTAAAAAAGAAAATATATATAAAAAAAAGAGTCTTGCTTTCAGAAATAGTGTATTTGCCAACAAAAAAACAAAAAGAGTTTAGTTTTCGAAAATAGTTAGTTTTATTTGCCCGAACTACGCCAGTTTGATTCCCACAGGGTGTGGGATACGTAGGCAACCCCCATCGGGTCCAACTTCCCTTTTGCAGAAGTAGCCAAAAAATAACAAAAGTTTTAGTTTTGTCATGAATAAGTCAGGTGAGGCCATTCTTGTCTAAAACAAGCCGCATGTCCCTAAAAAGGCGCCGGAAGGCTGTTTTTGCGAGAACAGCCACCTCGGGTCATTTTCAACGGTTAGCGGGCACAGCCTTAAAATCTTCTCCCCGAAGTGCTGAAAGGCCGTATCTGCAAGACCGGCTGTTTGTTTTAAATTGGAAATTTGAACAAAAATAGTGTCATTGTTTCCTTTTAGGTCAAAATAAGTGATTAAATCACCTTAATAAATGTGCAGGATGAGCACGATTCAAAATGAACCTTTTTCAATCATGCATAAAATCCCTTTGGAGTTGCGTCTGTGGTGGAACGACCTAGGAGGAGAAGGGCAAGATGAAGTCAAAAAATATTTGAAAGGGCTTACCGGTTTGTTGGAGATTGTGCCTCGGGGAGACATTATCAGAGCATTGGTCACATGCTGGGACCCGGCACACAACGTGTTCCATTTTTCAGACTTCGAACTTACCCCGACCTTAGAAGAAATAGCTGGCTACATCGGAAATGATGAGGTTCCTTTAAGACATAAGTACTTGGTTGCCCCGAGAACTGTAGCTGTGCACAGATTCTTAGACTCACTGAAGATAAGTAGGACGGTCCACAACGCAGATTTGGCGAACAACTTTTGTACTCCACACTTCATATACCACAGATATGGCCACATATGAGGGTTCAACAACCCGGAAAACAAGATATGTAGCAAAGGAAACCGCCAAAAATGGGAAGAACACAAACGTTTTGCTTTTATGGTGGCCTTTCTGGGGCTTTTGGTATTCTCGAGGAAAGATGGGAGCATTGACATAAAAATAGCCTGGGTCGTCAGCACTCTACTCACTCAAGCCAAAAGCACTCTTGCGCCCATCATATTAGCCGAAATCTTTCACGCTCTTACAGCCTGCAAAGCCGGAAGAGACTTCTTCGAAGGGTGCAATCTATTGTTGCAAATGTGGATGACCGAACACCTGTGCCATCGTCCTCAGTTCCTGAGTTATGGGTCCACAAAGAAAACATGTATAGAGGAGTTTTACACAAGGATTAAGGGGGTCAGCTTGCCCGAGGGATTCACGGGCTGGACATCATACTTTCGGTCCCTCACTGCTAGTCAAATAGAGTGGACATTTGGATGGTTGCCTGTTGATGAAATCATATATATGCCAGCAACGGGGCCGCACTTCCTTTTGATGGGTCTTAAGAGCATTCAGCCTTATGCTCCGTATCGGGTTTTAAGGCAACTCGGGAGATGCCAGATAGNGGCAGCCCAGGTACTGTTTTGATTATGAGTTCGTTTGGACCTGGGCCCGAGCCTAGGACTGGTCAGCCTTTCTGTGTATATCTAGGTTGTGGTGTCTCTACGTAGGCCATTTTCAAGGCCCAAAGTGGTTGAAGGTTGGAATGTATTGAGTTCATGGACCAAAATGTAGTAATCCTTAAATAATGTTAATTAATTAGGGTTTCTTCTTTATTTTAGAGATAAATTAAATAGAAAATCTAGTTTACTTTAAGATTGGTTTATAAATAATAAATGAGACGAGCCTCGCCAAATAAAACGTAAATTGTGGGGCCCTCATTCAATGCTTAACTAAAAATACTTAGGATTTGGGAGGCGCATTTTCACGACGTTGTAATTCTCTTTAAAATAATAATAAAAGCGGTTTAAAGTTAAAAAAAAAGGTACATAAGTTATAACATGTATTAAAATCAAATATTTAGCCATTTACAACAGTTTAAGCGACCGTGCTAGAATCACGGGATCCGGGGGTGCATAACACCTTCCCTCGGGTCAACAGAATTCCTTATTCAGAATTTCTGGTTCGCAGACTCCAAATGGGAAGTCGAAATTTTCCTCGATCTGGGATTCAAGTTAAACTGGTGACTTGGGACACCAAAAGCCAATCCTTTCCCAAGTGGCGACTCTAAAACTAAATAAATAATCCCATTTCGAATAATGTCACTTTAAATGGAAAAACTCCCTTATACATTATCCTTCGGGGTGGGTGTGTAAAAAAGGAGGTGTGACAGAGGTATTGGGAGACTTTGGGTGGTTTTGACTTTTGAACATGGTTTGGGGTAATTGGTTGTCTTTCATCTTGGTGTTGCTTTTGTTTTTAGCATAGGTGACAGTTTTCCATGGCTTTTGTGGATCATCTTCACTGGTGGTTGTATTTGGATTTCCTTGTGTTTGATTCGAAGTGGAAGGGGTTGTAAAGGTTGGGCAGTAATGAAGGTTATGCCCTAGACATCCACAATTTGTACATATCATAGAAGAATCTTCATAGTGGATTAATTGGGTGTGTGTTTCTAAAAGAATTTCAGATGGAAGGGATTTACCTAGTGGTGCTAAAATACAAAGTCTGGCGTAATGGCCTCTGGATGTATGTACTGTGCATATGTCAATTTTTATGAGTGTGCCAATGAAATCCGCTATTTTTTTTAGGATTTGTAAGTCATAGTATCCAGTGGGTAAAACCTGTAACAGGATCCACACATTTGCATAATTTGTGTGTGTTAGTGCTGGATTGAATTTGGGTTCTCATTGGCGTATGGAGAGGTATTGAGACCCTATGAACCAAGGTCCATTTTGGTATATTTTGTTGTAGTTTTCTATCTTTTGAAATTTGATAAGGTAGAAATCATATCCTAGATCTATTAATTATAGGGTTTCGTCAAGTTGCCAGAGTGAGTTTAGTTTAGTCTTAAGATTTGTGCAGGACATTTTTCTCCCCAGGAGTTTGATAATAATGGCTTGTTGCCAAAGACGGTATAGCCTTAGTTTGTCATTTGTGGATATAAGTATGATAAAGGATGTTTGGATGGGTTGGAGTTTTCATCATCTAGAGTTAGTTTTTTCAAGAATTCTGTTTCTAGGGTGGGGATGATTGGGGAGGAGGAGGGGAGAGAGTGTCACGAAAGCTAACCTTATTTGTGTTGGATGATTGAGTGTTGATTTCCACACCTTTGTTCATAGCTTCTTTAGGCTTATCAATGCTGCGATTCAGTTGATCCTTTTCTTATTTTGATAACTCGTTTTCAGATGCTTCCTTCGTGGAACGATTCCTTCTCTCAACTTTGCAACAATTGAAAAAGTTTTTTCCCAACCTTTTCAATCGTTTTTGCAACCAGACACAAGAAAACATCTTGTATAGTTCTTAGAAATTCTTCCGGGTTCCAGCATAGATTGCTAATTTTCTTTATTTATATTTAATGTTTTATTTTTGTGTTCTTTAGCGCATGCATCTTCCTTCTTATGTAAATGCAATTAACAACTTCTTCTGTATTTAAGCAAGGTTTTAGCTGAACCTTAGCTAATATAGGACTCGTTTAATTGGCACTCTACTTTGAATTGATTTGACAGAATATTGATAGTAAACAACTCATCACATTAGGAATTATGCTTAAAAAATAAGAAGGATGCTGAAAATGAAGTAAAGTTGTCTCCGTATGACTTATAGGTCCGTGGAAGCAGCCACTAATGCTTGCTTTAGGGTAGGCTGTCTACATCATACCCCTTGGGGTGCGGGCCTTTCCTCGGACCCTGTGTGAACATGGGATGGCATGTGCACCGGGCTGTCCTTTGCTGAAAAAGGGTAGCCCGGTGCACTAAGCTCTCGTTATGCGCGAGATTCGGGGAACGGCTGGACCACAACGGTCTATTGCATGCAGTTTTACCCTGCATTTTTGCAAGAGGCTATTTACACGGCTCGAATCCGAGACCAACCGGTCATATAGCAACAACTTTACCAATTACGTCAAGGCTCCCATTCTGCCCTTTGCTGAAAATGAAGAAGGAAAAAGAAAAAAGATGAAACATAATGATTCAGCACTCCCAAGTTTATTGAGGGTTCTTTAATTTTTCGTTAACTTCATATCTTAAATTGATGATTATTATTTATACCATTCTTCATGCTCTGAAAATTATGCAAGTAAATGTGTTAATAAAACAGGTATCAGTTACTTATAATAACGAATCTGTGCACTTACACAGACAACAGAGCAATTAATTTACACAAGGCAAGTTCACAAGCCAAAAATGCTTAATTACTTGGAACATTGAACAAAATTGTGACTAATTTTGGTTTGTCTAATCTAAATGGTACCAAAATTGCCTGTTTCACATCATAGACATTTGAAGCTGAAAGGCATACTGAAGTTGAACTTGAGACTCTAGCTCTTTTGACTTAGTTAAGTGTTAAAAGAGATTGGTCGGCCGACTAGCTTTCAGTGGCATCCCAAAATTTTGATAGATCCTGATTTCACCTCCCGAGGTTGCGGTCACAATAACCATGCCCCATGCTGTTGCTTGGACAGCGACATTTCCTTGATTATTGCTACCATCAAACCTGCTAGAAGAAGATATAGAAGGTGAATCGCCATCTCTGATCGATGGAGAACTCGATGAAAACGAGTCACTAGCACCAATTCCAGGATCTGTTGGAGAGTCTTGAGCTAAGTCCTCATCTTGACTACTTTGGATTTTCTCCACTGTACTGTTTTTCCTAGCCGGTAGAGGTGGTAAATGCCTCTTGCTATTTGCACCAGCCGAGTTGTCTTCCCTCGTAGGAGATCCATTGGTAGGATGTGGTGGTGGCGGGGAACGTTTTGAATGCCTTTTCGATTGTGTCTGATCTACAAGTGGTGGCTGATTTTTTATACTACCAGGCCACGGTATGGCAACTGAAACATCTTTACATTGGAAATACTCATAAGTTTGAACATTGATTAGACTTCTTGATTTGCTACTTGCAGTTTTAGGTTCTTCTCTTTTCCATATATAGACCTGAGAGTCTTCACTTGCACTTATGATATATTTCCCATCTTGACTGAATGAAGCTGAAATTTGACTGCTTGTATTCCGAAAACCTGAGGTTCAGCAAATAAATCCACAATTTATGAAATACGAAAGTAATTCAAGCTCTTCAAACGATTATATCTTTTAGAAAGTACCTCTAAATTTGTAGGTCATGTCTGATCCATCAAAAATCCTGATACGCGAATCAGCTGAAGTTACAAGCACTTCTGTTGAACTCCCTGGAGCAAACTGGACATGAACAAGTTCAGCTTTTAGATAGATCTCCTGCAATTCAAGATTGCAGCCTGAGAATAGTAAATTTAGAAAAGGGAAATACCTGAAAACCAGTGACCTTTTTGGCTAAGGACTTCTTCTTGGGTTCGAGTTCAATGTTTTCCTTCTGTTCCAGTTTGCATTCTAAATCACAAACGCGTTGAAAGTTAACAGTTGCATTCCTCTGAAAATTATCACTAGAATAAACGATTCTGTGTGATGATTTACTTACCAGAGGCACTGTACATGCGACAGCTTCCTTTATGTGAGCCAATTAAAGCGCCCTTTAGGTAAAGAAAAGCAAAATATCAGTGTTACTGTTTACCTCTAATATGACTAGAATTGCGGGGGAAGTGGTTTGGCATGTTTGAAACCAGTAAAAGTTTGGGCTGTAGCTACCTGGCCATCAGGAGTGTAGCAAGTAGCAGTAACCATTTCATGAAGATCTGTCCAGTCCACAACTTTCCTATCAGATACATTCCAAACTCGGACTTTTCCATCCAGTGAACCGCTGATGAAGTGATCGTCATCTACTGGATTGAAGTGTATGCATGTTACTGCCGCACAGAGATTCATCAGATGTCAAAACATGTGATGGTAATTTTAATATGGCCTTGATTGAGTAGCTACAATGTAGAAACATGGCATCTCACCATAATCGTTGTGCGCAAACATTTTCAAGCAGCTCTGAGTTTCAATATCCCATAGCCTCACTGTCTTGTCCATTGAAGATGAAAGAAGCAGCTGCATCAAAATTTCATTTATCATGTCATAGTAAACATGAAGAGGAGCCTTGGCATAACTGGTAAAGTTGTAGTCATGTGACCAGGAGGTCACGGGTCTTGCAGAAATGCAAGGTAAGGTTGCGTACAATAGATCCTTGTTGTCCAGCCCTTCCTCAGACTCCGCGTATAGCGGGAGCTTAGTGCACTGGGTTGCCCTTTCATATCATAGTTAACATCAAATTAGTAAACTGATTAAGTACATGAAAACTGACCTGAGATTTTGACCAAGAAAGGTCCAGGACATCGTCCTGATGACCGTTGAGACTGCATATTGGTTTTTCGGAGAGTGCAAAAACAGTTTCTGGTACATTTACATAGTCTGGAAGTGAGTTGCCCTTCTTCTTATTAGAAGTCTTCCCCTTCTTCTTATGTGTGATCACTGGCAGGGGCGGACGGTCTGAATTACTTCCAGCCGTTGGATGAACAGGTGTGTCACTAACAGAATTCGGATCATCTGATGGTTTTGTAGACATAACATCACATTCTTGTACTTCCCATACATGAATTACTCTGTCTTCTCCTGCAGTTGCTAAATAACGTGCATCCGCGCTGAATCTTATGGTCCATATGGATCCCTCATGAGCCTGAATTTCTTGACACAATTGCAAAGCTGTGAAATCTTTGTATATCTTTCCTTGTTGGCGGACTTTAATCCATTGTGAGGAATTCTTGTTTTGTTTCTGTTCCACTGGTGCAGGTTGTTCGAGTTCTTTATCATTTATTAATCCACTCATGCTATTTGCAACTCCTTTTATGTTCTTTAAAAGAGCAACTCCTGTTTTCTTGCTATATCTGAAACTCTTACTGAGATATGCATTTACATTTAGTTTCCTTTCATCGTTGGTTGAAACATTTGCGCGGCGCATCAGTTCCTTAACAACAGGAGAGTATCCTACAGATTTCTCAAATTCCTCCATTGAAAGTTGCTTTCCAGTTTGTAGATCACTGAGCTTATTCCACATTCCCTCTTCATTTGACTCTTTAACAATGAATTCTTTTCCAGTGTCAAGATTTTTTATCAAGAAAAATGAAGCAAATCCCAAATCAGCACATCCATTTTGCAATGTTGATGATGGCATATTCTCACTGCCATTTTGTGGTGGTGAAGATTTACTTGTGGTGCCCTTTTTGGGCGGCGCCATTACAGCAGAATTCGCGTATTGGCATATTCTTGTGGTTGGTGCCAAAACTCCTGAAAATGTCCTGGTGAGACGTTGTTTAGAAACGTCGCCAATTAGTTCTTCTTTCCTTTTCTTGGTAGTTACAGAGAAAAATTGTATGTCACCATCTGATCTCGACCTGAGCAGTAAAATTGGTGGCGAATTTGACGGCTCAGGCTCAGGCTCTGGCTCTGGCTCTGGCTCCTCCTGTTTTAGTTCTTCTTTAGAAGAAATATTATCAACTTTTGTTTTAGAATCTTTGCATGTATCAACTTTTCTTGAAATGGCTCGTATAACTTTTGCACTAGTCAACTTGAGGAGTTCTTTATTGCTTGTCAACCCCATTCCCTGGAGTAAGCGTTTTCGACGCTCTTTAACGTCTCCAGGCTCAGCCATCCACATGCCGTAATCTTCCATGACAATGGGAGGAGGATTGTTGATTGTTGTTTTCTCCATATTAAGGCCTCGAAAATTCTTAGAAGCCGAGGCCGAGAAAGAACGTCGACTGTCCTCAAACTCAACCTCATCATCTGATCCCGAGGACGCTAAGTCCTGGGGAACGGCCGAGGAAAGACGGTCAGAGGACTCGAAGAAGTGATCATCATCGTCATCTTCTCCGAGTCCATCCCAGTTAATAGTCAGCGTCCTGCGATACATTGTAGCACATTGCCAATTAGGAAAATCCAAAGGAGGATCAAATGAAAAACGGCATGTTTAGATGGGGATTTTTGGGTTGATTTTTGTTAATTTTTGTGTTGTTGTTTTGTTTGTTTGTTCGTCATAGAAATTACTAAGGAGAAGAGAGTGGAAGAGAGAAAAACAAGGAAAGTAAGACTGTTATGTTTGTGTATAGGAAATTGGATGGATTGTGAAGAGGGAAAGGAAATGGTCAATGGAGGGTCTCTTTTTATCTGTGTTCGTTAAGCTACTCATTAAGAAATAGTTTTTAGCATTAACTATAAAGAATAGTTTGACTAAGTATACTCTTCTCTCTTCTTTAAATGAGTAATTAATGACCAAGAATGGAACCGAAAAAAATAATTAATGTTTTTTTGATTTTATAATTTGACAAATATTATTGCTAAAGTGAAGAATAAAAAGTGTCGGAGGGAGTCTGTTTAAGTGAAAAAGAACGGGTGACAAGAGGTGGTTGTTCACATGGTCAATAGCCCCACTTACAATGTCAGGGTAGTAGGTTTGAGCCACCAAAGAAGCAAAAATCTCCAACAAAAGGGGAATCAAAGGAGAGGGGACAAAAAGAAAGTGAAAAAAAAACTAAAACAAAATGAATATCACTAGATAGCTTGGTCTAAACTGAAACAAACCAAATAACAAACCAACTGGCTATATTGAATCACTGAATAAAATTACAAACAACTCAAAATTGTAATGAAACCGTTAAAGGATAGCTGAAAGAAAACATAGAGATATGAAAGGACAGAAATACACCATAGAAGAAAGGGATGAGAAGCACAACTATACATATACCTAGGAGTTTCAAATGGACGGGTTGGGCAGATTTTGGGCGGGTCACCCAATTTTTCCTATAGATCGTGATGGCGCCCAACAATACCGCTAGGCAAGCCAACAACGAACTAACCACATGATTGTTTCTTTTAACAATTTAGAAATAGTTGATTTCTAATTAGTGAATAAATAAGAAATGAAAATTTAAATAAAAGAGAGACAAATAATTTAAGAGCAAATAAGATAAATAATACCCAAAAAAAATCATCATGTGTCTACTAGCTTAATTTTCAATACCTGGTGTCACAAGTATATGAGCTACTAGTAGAATATACAAAATAATACTACACTACTATCTAAAGTGAAATAGACAAAAAGCAAAAGCAAAAAAAAGACTCTGGGTGCTGCAGAACGGGCTCGGAAGGCAGCTCATCGAAAAGTCTCGAGGTAATCAGGAGTGCACGCCGGGATGATAACCAGATGCACCTACCTCAGATCCTGCACGGATAGTGCAAAAGTGTAGCGTGAGTACATAAACAATATGTACCCAGTAAGTATCTAGTCTAACCTCGAAGAAGTAGTGACGAGGGGTCGACTTCGACACTTACTATGGACTAACAGTAAAATATCGAAATTCTAAATAAGCATGGGCTATATAAAAGAATAACGAAACTCAATAATAAGAAATAAATAAATAAGCATGGGCTATATAAAAGAATAACGAAACTCAATAATAAGAAATAAATAAACAATCATTTCATCGATAGTAAGATCCCAAATTGATTTCCATCATTTAACCATTAAACCTCTCAAACCAATAAAACGATATCAAATATACTTGGGCTCCAAATATTATCACGCACGAATTATGCCGAGGACGTACGGCTGATAAGTAGGGATTTTAACCTATTATTTGCTCTCTTTTACTTGTGTTTTAGGCAAAAAATGCATGAAGATATTCCCGAAAACTAATGTAATGTGCTTGCATGCAACAATTGTTCAAAATGAGCCAAAGGAGCTATAATCAACTCATAAAGGGGTCAAAACTTGAACAAAAACCAAGACTGGGCCAAGAGATCTGAAATGCGAACCACAAAAATATTGTGCGGCCGAGAAAGCCACAACGCAGCCGCGATCAGAAATACGCGCTCCGCGAAAGAGAGATTCAGAGAGTTGCACTTTCAGGCTAAATGATAAGCGGGGACCGCACCAGAAATGTGCGGCCGGGGAAGTCACTACGCGGCCGCGATGGAAATTATGTGGACCGCGGTGCATGAAGTTCAGAGAGCTCACAACTTGAGCAAAGGAAAGAAGTGCGGTCAGCGTCAGAAATGTGCGGCCGCGAAAGTCTCCCCGAGGCCGCGATGGAAATTATGCGGTCCGCGAAACTCAGCTCAACCCAGATCTAGATTTGATAATGCGGACCGCGATCAGAATTACGCGCCCGCGAAAGTAAGAATGTGGCCGCGCTCAGAATTACGCGGCCGCAGAACCTCCGCAGTGGTATTTTTGTCCGAAAATTTCAGCTTAGTATAAATTGAACTTTTTGTCATTTTTAGGTTATATTACGTATTAGCGGAGCACCTGAGACGGCTGACTTTACTGCTTTTGAAAATTTTGTACTAGATTCGTCTTTTAACATTAGATTTTCATATTTTAATCTAGTACTATGAATTTTATCTTCTTTTCATCTTTAATTTATGTTATTTCCATAAGTAGCTAAACCCATAGCTAGAGTTGTGACCCAACCCTAGTGTCGGTATTTGATGGGTATTAAACTTTAGGGCTTGAATGTGTATGGGTTAGTGATACTTAGTCTAGTTCTTGCTAGAACTTTAGAATTAGTGGTTGCAAATACTGATTCATGCCTTTATGACTTAGTCTCTACTTGAGAAAGAGGGACTAAGCCTGGGAAAACTAGGCTAACAAGGAATTGGGGTGAACTCAAAAAATTGATAGCCCCAATTAAAGGGTTAAACATAGAGATAGTAATACCCGACTTGAGCTAATATCACTTGAATTGCATGAATACCCATTTGGCCTTGAGAAAGCCAAATTGGGAAAAATCACTCAAACTACCGAGAGGTATAGAGTGAGTACTTGGGTGTGATAGCTATATTACGACCCCAACTAATTACATGATTGCCCTAGATTCTTGCTACCCGTTAGATATCCACCTAGGTAGTAGTCACTACCCTAGTCCCTTTTAACCCTTGAAAATCAACAACAAAAACCTTATACTTAGTTTCAAATATTGCATTCAATAGAATAGCGTTAGAAGCAGAATCAAATCAAACATTTGATTAAGAGCAAAACCGCATCTAGACTTAGATATAAATCTAATTCCAAACAAATTAACTCCCTGTGGATCCGATCCCGACCTAGTTGGGTAAAACTGCATTGACCACCCTCGTTACTCAATAATAGTGCAGGCTTGGACCCGATCAATTTTTGGTGCCGTTGCCGGGGAGTTAGACGGTTTTAGCTATATATCTAAGTATTTGTGTGTTTTGTTTTTCTTTCCTTCTATTTTTCTAATTTGTTTGTGAATTGCTTTTAGGTATCAAATAGCTCTTAACAACGTAGCCCTCGGAAATTTGCCATTAGGGGAGGAGGTAGATAATGATCACGTAGATGAGATTCAACCCAAACCTCAAGTACAAAGGAGAGGTCGCCCACCTAATGACAACATCCCAAACCCTCCCCCACCTCCTCCAAGGGCAGCACACCGGGTGTTGCCCAACGAAGGCTATGCAAGTGTAATAGTCCTGCCCCGAATTAGGGCGGGCAACTTTAAAATAACCAATGTCATGCTTACACTGTTGGAACAGAGGGGTTTCTTCACCGGAGCTCCACACAACGCGCTTACAAGCATCTCAAAGGTTTTGTTGACATGTGCTGGGGGAGAAAGAAAACTAATGTCTCCGAGGTCGCGTTGAGGTTAAGGATTTTCCCATTTTCTCTAAGGGGGAGGGATTTAGATTGGCTATAAAGGTTACCCAACCATTCCATACACACTTGGGATGAGTTGGCCGAGAAGTTCATCGCAAAGTTCTTTTCTCCGGGGCATATGGCGACACTAAGAGATGAGATCCTTGCTTTTAAACAAGAGCCAAATGAACCGCTTCATGAGATTTGGGAAAGGTATCGGATGATGGATAAAGAATGTCCGAATAATGATCTGACCAAAGCCATGATCTAACAAACATTCTACCAGGGAATAAACACAACAAACCAATGTGTGGTTAACCAACTCGCCGGGGGGGGGGGGGGGGACTTCATGAACACACCATATGTCGAAGCATGTGAAATACTTGATGAGATGGAAGATACCTCTTCGGCGTGGCAAAGTAAAGCTAATGTGCCACAAGGTCACCCTAATGTCATTCACTTACACAAGGCTACATGACCACGGCCAAGCTATAGCCAAATTGACTACTACCATGAACCAATTGGCCAAAGCTCAGTTACAACAAGTTCAAGGGTCAAAACAAGTGAATGCCATGGAAGGGGTGAATATGATGATCAACAAGAGAAGGCAACGAGGTCAACAAGTTCAAAACAATCCGGATCAATTTGAGCAAAGTGGTAGTGGGTACAATCAAGATGATTCATATGATTATCAAAGTGAAGAGGTTCAATATGTCAACAATTATAAAGGTCAACGGGGCAATGCTCCGAATCAACAAAAGTGGAGATCACAGGGAAACCAAGGAATTGGGGCAATCAAGGTTAACAAGGAAATTAGAATAGTGGCAACAACAACAACCAAGGGAATTGGGGGAACAACAACAATCAAAATTGGGGTACTTAAGGAAATCAAGGCAATTGGGGAGGCAACAATAATAGTAATTGGGGAGGCAATAACAATCAAAGGGGTTGGAACAATAATAATCAAGGGGATCGGGGGTCGAGCTTTCAAAGGCCCCCGATGTATCAACAACCGAACAACCCGCCTCCATATCCGTCACAAGGTCATAGCTCTTCCAACAATGAGATGGGACGGATTGAATCCATGTTCGAGCAAATGATGAAGAAAAATGCCGACTACGATGCCCAATTGGCCTCCCACAACACTTCTATTCGCAACTTGGAAGTCCAACTTGGCCAAATTTCTCAAGCTTTGAATACTCGCCCTAAGGGGGCACTACCAAGTGATACGGTAGTAAACCCTAAGGGCGGGAACAATACAGGCCATGCTATGGTGGTGACTACAAGAAGTGGTAGAGGTGGAGTTGCTAGTACCTCTAATCCAAGAAAGATTGTGAGTGGTGTT